GTGTTTCCTGTCTCTTCAATTACGGTTTTGCAGGTCCTGGTTCCCATGGGGGGAACTTTTTCACCAAGAGGCACAGTAAAAGAACAATTAAACCTAAAGTTACAGCTGCTACCTAGGCATTTTGAGATCCTTACGCAGGCAAATCAACAGGCAAAGAAAGGAGCTACCATACTGACAGGGGTAATGACTTTGATTATTATAAGGACGAAGGGTTGCTGCTACATAATAATGGCAGGAAGGAATATATCTGGAATAAAGGGGATTTACTAGGATACCTCTTAGTGTATGCATGCTCAGTGGTAGCATGGTTCTCACATAATTGTAATGGGCAATTATAGCAACCACAGCCTGATATGTATATGGTGGCCAGAGGCTCAGATCCCTCAAAGATGAAGATCTCAGTCATGCCAACAGGCAAACCATCAAGACCAGCAGAAGTGTTAATAGAGGATGCAAGAAATCTAGAATGGATGGTAAAAGGAGGACATAACAGTATCAGTTACAGCCTCAAGGCCATTTGCAGGAACACATTGTAACTTATCCCACTAAGCTTCCTTTTGTAACATTCTCCCTCAGAATTGGGAAACATCTATGTAAAGAATCTGTGATAAGATGGAATGAATATAAGACGTGAGTGGATCTAAATGATACAAGCAGGACAGAGGGAGAACTATAGTGCCATCTCTTGTAGTGGACAATGGTGATGCTCCATCAAAGTCCTTAAGATCACTTTTTATCCTTTTCACACCCCCAGACTCTGTGTTTTCAATGTGTTTCAACAGTCGGCGCCTATAGATCTTCAGAGGACTACATCTGGCTACTTAAAACATTTTGCTCACTTGGACAGAGCCAAAACCCACCAGGGCAGCTGGTAACCAAAGACTGTCCACCAGGGAATATGAAAACCTGGCTTCCTTGCCTCAAATTGGGATAACCCCGGAGTTCTCTGGCTGGATTAAAATGAAGCCTAGTCTCTGTGGGACCTTCACCTGAAATCACACTCTTGCTTGTCTTCCTCCCCCTTCCCTGGCCTGCTTCCCTGACTCTGGTATTCGTCTCTCCAGTGAACACTTTCTTATAAGTCACTTGTAAAACTGTATTTATCTAAGGTCTGCTTCTAGGGAGCCCGAACTTCAAAAAATCTAAATGGGATGCTGTAAAAAGTAGTATTGGCCCAGAACAAGAATCAGTAACATCGTACTCATCAGATAAAATTCCAAGTGGAACTGGGACTTCTCAAAAGTGTGGTGAATGTGGTGGACTGGCATGCAACAGTCCACTACAGCCACCTTCTAGTGTACCTCCATGTTGTATAGAAACAAAAATGCTTTAAAAAACAAAACAAAACCCTATATTTTCTAGTTTATGTTCTAGGTAAGATTTAAAATAAAGCTATTACATGCAAGATCTGGAAAGTGTAAGGCAGAGGGCTTACTGTTCTGCTATTTCTAATGCTAAATATCATCTTGGTTTTTCTGTACAGGTCTTGGCAGTGGCAGGATGGTTCCAAAGATGACAGTTTTCATAATAGCTTCCAATTCAGATGTTGGCTTCATGACAGAATAGCCGGAAACATCTTTGGAGACCTGCTCTGGGGCATGGCTCTCAAAATCATTCCTGAAAACTTAATTTAGAGCCCACCTTTTCAGCTCTCTTAATGATTTTGTAAGCCATTTAATACTCATTGTGTGCAAATACCTTTGCGCATAAACTGGCTAGAGTGAATTTTGTTCCCTGTAACTAGCCCTTGAATACATAAATTTTGTTACTTAAAGTGGGGTGCTGTTACAACAAACTTAAAATATGTGGCACTGATTTAGTAGAAGGGTAGAGGATAAGGACACAGATGTTACAAACTGGAAAGCTAGTGATCATTGTTATGCCTCAGCAAAATATTTGATAAAAACTGTCACCTAAGGCCGGGCACAGTGGCTCATGCCTGTAATCCTAGCACTCTGGGAGGCCGAGGCGGTAGGATTGCTTAAGCTCAGGAGTTCAAGATCAGCCTGAGCAAGAGCGAGACCCAGTCTCTACTAAAAATAGAAAGAAATTAGCCAAACAACTAAAAATAGAAAAAAATCAGCCAGGCAGGGTGGCACGTGCCTGTAGTCCCAGCTACCCAGGAGGCTGAGACAGGAGGATCGCTTGAGCCCAGGAGTTTGAGGTTGCTGTGAGCTAGGCTGATGCCACGGCACTCTAGCCC